TTTTATGGTAAAGGCAAATTTTAAGATTCTATTTATGTGTCTGTTCCTTTTGTGGTGTCGTTAATTTAAAGGTTTGATTTGATCCCTTTTTTTAAAATATGACCAAAAAAATATAAGAACGAATCAAGTCAGATATTACTTTTGACTCATATGTTAATGAGATTTTTGCTTCAGTGGGGGGCCATTCTTTTAACATGTTTTTTTGTTTGGTTTTTTTTTGTTTGTTTTGTTTTGTTTTTTACTTACTGATGACGAAGGGCTATGAGGGGGATAATAAAATATATGGGAAATTATGTGCATTTGTCTTTTTCTATCATTTTTGTTTACTGTGGAAATATAAGAACTAAAACTGCAATTATTTATTTCTCGTCTTCCGGTTCTGCAAACACGTCCTTTATGTCACCTCTGCTTCCTCTGATCTTCCAGGTTTTCTTTTTTTCCCTGCGCTCTTATTTGGAAGAAAGCGCGTCTCTCTCGGTTTGCCAGAGTTCCGCTCTCAGGCGGCTCTCTGTCCTCTCCTGTAAAGCCCCTGGTCCTGATGCTATCAGATGGGATTGTGGCATATTTGCACGAATTCTGAATTGACGAAGTTGCAGATAGATTCCACAAACGTACGTCCGACCTCTTAAAATATATCTTTCCATGTGAGTTGGAGTTATCGGTAATAAATGTGATATTTCTTGCGTCTTTTTGTAACATTAAGGACTAGAAGAACCTTTCTACTGACCAATAATAGGGAAGCTATTTGCGAGGTTTTTTATTTATATATGTAAAATAGAAAATTATGAAAGTGACTCCAGGAGCTAAATTTAGAAAATATTTAATTTCAAAGTTCAAAATGCGCTGCTTTTCACTTTGTTTTTTTGCATTGATTTTTTTTCTTCTTCTTTTAATCCCTGAATAAATTTCCCTCCAGGCCATATTTAGTAAAACAATTAATTGAAAATAAGTGGCTTTCAAAAATACTAAATTGCTTCGAAGCGAAATGCGGCGAATAATTTAGAAAATCTGCCTCTTTTGTGGATTAAACGCTGTTTCTTTTCTCCACACTGCTGCCTACAGTTCAGCAGGAGGAAGGTTTGGCATTCAGTCGAGCCCTGAAGGCGTCAGAGAGCGGCTCTGAGCAGAAAGGGGACCACCTCACAAACCCCCTCTGTCTGTTTGCGGGACAACACCTTCAGCACGTCTCAAGTTCTCCCTGTGATCGTCCAGGACGTCGCTGCGTCTGTGCGAAGCCCGAATAGGAAACAGATGTGGCCCTGGCGTTGTTTTGGGCCCCTGTAACCTCAGCGCGCGCGCACACACACACACACACACACACGCACACGCACACAGCTAGTGGCCTTACACAGGTGCACCATGTATCCCTCAACAACAATTAAAGCAAAGTCCTGTGATCAGGTCTACTGTTGGCGCACAAAGAAACGGCAGCTGACTGAGCTTTGGAGATGGAGGAGGAACAAATGAAAGCGTCCAGACAGCTGAATAAAAGTTTTAGAAGATTAAAGGAATTTAATTTCTTCGGAGTTTTCGAAGATGGAAGACTTTAAAGAAAAGTCAAAGTGGTAAAACTGCGTGTAAATAGATTTCCCCCCCTTCCTTCCAAACATCAGCTTTCAGGTACACATGCGCAGACTGAACTTTTGTTTGCTTCTAGTGCTGTACTGATAGATAAGCTACGCAGCGATTATCTGCAATAGGCTGTAATTTTATTTTCACTTGCAATGCTCTATAGAGTTATTTATTATTATTATTATTATTATTATTGTACAATGTGTGAAATGCACTATTACACGCGCGTGATAATTGAAGTGTTTAATTAATGCACCAAGCTCAAATTAATTTACCCCAAATTCAGGTAAAGCTGAATTAAATCCATTTTAAATCTCCTCTAAATGGCCGAACGCGACGCTTGGCTAAAAATGAGACGTAAAACAAAAACAGCAGAGTTTAATCCGACACACATTGAACCTTTTAGAAGCATTAAGCTGGTCCGATATATGAAGCAGGTCGAGGTTTGCTCTCAGTGGGACTCCTTAGCAGTGTCAAGAAGTCCAGCTGAATAAACTTTATTTTTGTGACAATCCTGCTGAATTAAATGCAGAAAGGGGCGATGTGCTGCTGCTGCTGCTTTTGCTGCTTATTTGCCTCTGCTTCCCAGAGACCCAGACGGCTGCTTTCATAACACACCTGAGTCTTCAAGCAGCCACGCAATTACGCGTTTAAAATCGACCGCATATATGTTATTACATGCGGTCGATGTGTTTCTAAAGTGAGACATTAGCAGGATTTGGGGTCTGATTTAATGGCTTTACAAATATTTTCCCAATTTTTTTTTTATTTTGTTTCTGATCTAAATTTGGACATTAAACGCGCAGAAATTGCATCAATAATTAGGTTAATAGCCTTTAATGTTTTTATTGCAGTAAACAAAAAAAGTTGTGCTGTGGGGGGCAAAATAAAAATTATAGTCGGTCCAATCAAGAAAAAAAAAAACACTTCCCCGAAAAGTAACTTTTATTTCTGCAGCTTTAGATCCCACCTAAAATTTGCAAGAACTTAAATAAATGTGTTATTTGGTTTCTGTGCAAAGAACCTTTGTGTAATTGTGGTTTTGCGCGTTGATCCTTAAACTCAGCTCTGAATTCGACGACACGCAATTGAAGCCACTGAAACACACCTATGCACGCCTGATGCCTTGAAGTAAGTGGTCCATTTTTTTTTCCTTCTTTCCTTTTTTTTTTTTTTTTTTTATAAGTAACACCTCCAAACTCATCACGGCTCATTAATGTCTTAATAAATCCTTCTGGATGTAACGTTGCGCGTTTGGAAAGCGGCTTGGCAGCAGAAAGGTTCCCTGCTCCTCTGGAAGTCTTCAGGGGTTTTTCTGCGCTGCAGGCCTGAAAAAGCCGCATCGACAACAACCCGAGTCCAGAGAAGGTGCTTTAAGATAAGGCAGTGACAGGCTTCTCACCGTCCTTTCCTAAAGTGCATTGTTGACATCCTCTCCACTGACCTCCATCACCCCCCCTGTCTTGTCCTCAGGATGAAAAACGATTCGCCCGGAGTGCCTGGGTTTCCCTTCCTGCCTCAGGAGAGCCGCATCAATCACGAGGACGTTTGTTTGGGAGCGAGAAAAATACGCTTTTCGGCATCATTAGAGCACCTTTATACACACAATAAGCGTTGTATTGGGGAGTTAGGAGAGGGGAAAAAAATGCATGTTACATTTGAGCCGGTTACCACCCCCTCTCTTTGTGGAAAGTGCCGCGGTGAAGCCAAACAACGCGCTGTTTGCGTTACAGCTCCGGTGATCCTGACTCATCCTGCTGTGGCCTTAGGGGAGAGATTGTGCGCTGGAAATTACTCTCATTTATTGTTTTACAGCAGAGTCACAACCACACAGGCCTCAAACCGACTGTCAGCTTTCACTGCAGCTTATTCAGCCGAGAAAACACACACACAATTACCTTCTAACACATAACACGCACTCTCGTTGAAATCCCAGTCATCCCTGCCTGTGCCTGCAGGCTGCAGAGTGGCTGTAAATACATTAAACAAATAAACGATTTAATCTGGAAATTACCATTATTACTGTTATTGGCCAGAATATAATGTGTGTATTAATAAATCCCATCATGGGTCAACGTCAGTAGCATCTAAGATTATTTTTGACGTAATTTCTGTGATGATAATTGGTCTCATTATTATTGTTATTATTAATAGCAGTTGTATAATTGGCCTGCATCTAAGGTGACGTCGTTAGATTTTTGTAAAATTATTATTTTCACTGCTATTATTTTTAGCAATTATTTGCAACATATGACTATTTTTAACGAAAGTATTTTTGGATAACGTCACCAATTGCATTAATAATAATTAATGCTGTTGATGCTATTTTATGCCGGTTTATAATGTGTCCCCTTGTAAGTCATTTTAAAATGATTAGTTATAATAATGTTCTGTCTGGACACTGAAATAGAAATAGATACTCCCAATGGGATTTTTCTTTCTTTCTGGTGAACTAAAGGTTTTAAAAATCAATTTAAAGACGCTCGAAATACATGTATTATTACTAGTAGTATTAGTATTACTTTTGCTATCTCTGATTCTTTCTTTGAAGCTATGCTTTTCAGCTGGGGATGCCGGTGGGGGGTAATTAAGGAAGTAGTAAAAAAAACAAAAAAGAAAAAAGAAAATAAACATCTGACAGCTGCCATATTCCAATCGGCCACCGCTGCCTGCTGCTGTCTGAATGCAAAGCAGACTGGCCTGTATCTCGTCCCTGCGGCCAGATATCTCATCCATCAGCGCGCACTCATCATGCGTCAGCAGGGACCTTTAGGGTCTAGACCTGCAGCAAAAAAGAGAGAGAGAGAGAAATCTCTCCACCCGAAGACGTCCAAAACAAATGCAGCTGCAAACGTATTATTTTTTTTCTTCATCTGCATCCAAACGCTCCCATCGTTATGAAACAGAAGCCAGACAGAAGCCTGATGTGCGCTTTGTGACTTGACTGATTTGTTTTGCTGACAAGGCCTCTGACTGAGCTCAGACCGCACTGATGCCACACGTGAGTTTGTTTACCTCCGGTGTTTACGCTCACACACTGAAAATGCACGGCCTACAGGTGAGGCCAATGGCGGGGTGGGGGAAAAGAGGACAAGGCGGCTGCAGAGTTCACCTCCTGTTGGGGTGAATAGGAGGTGATTGTAGCTGTGGGTAATGTACAGGATTGATTGGAGCGAGAAAGGTTTTGGAGAAAATTCTCTTTTAGTGTAAAAACAGCTACGTAAGCCCCGTACTCATCAAAGTTTAAAGAAGATTCACTAAGTAGTATTTACATACCATGTGAAACATCGCCTCTATTAACACGCTCGCTGCCCATGCTGTAATAAGAACTATTTACATTTTAAATGTATCTAGTAATTATTTTTGCTTTTAGCGATTTACAAACACGTTTTACTGTTTGGTCTAGTTTGTATTTTTTTTTTTTTTTTTTTTACTTTGAATGTGTTTTACGGCCTTTTTCTACAGCATAATGCTAATAAATCACTCCAATTAAATTCAAATATTCGGCACTTTATTAAACAAAACAACTTGCAATGCCTTCAGAATTTTTTTTTTAAAACAAATTACAGAATGAATAAAATAGGCCAGTAGAGGCTACAGAGTCTTTCCCCGTAAATTTCTATACAACAACAGGGACAGATTTAAAGGCAGCAAGAAAACTGGAAAAGAGTTTGGTCCTCACCATCCAACCACCTGCTTTTCCTCCAAAATAAATTACTATATTAGGCTATAATTTACAGTCTATTCATAAAGGTGGTAGGAGCAATTCTCAAAGTGAGAGGGAAAGAAACTTACGTGCGGTGGTGTTACACAGCTCACGACAAAAGAAAGGAAAATCTCAGAATCTCTCATGTCCACTCGGAGAGTAAAAGTACAGCCAAAAAAAGAGAGAAAAATATAGAGCAAATATATACTCGAGTTATTAATTTAAAGGGGACGTTTTGGCTTTCAGAACTTGCTGCAGTCATAAACAAACGCTCCTGAGGTGCGGTAGAGTGACTGGCCGGACGGGAAGGCCATCTGACAGCTGTTATTCCCGCTCACCGGGGAGCCGTTCAGCCCGATCCGCTGGGACTCGAACATCTCCCGTACAGCGTGGAAGTTCTGCTGCTGCGCCGGGTAGGCCGGACTCAGGTGGCTCAGGTCTCCGTACCAGGACGCGAGCCGGCCCTGGTGCCCGTGGTGGCCCTCCTGGCCCGCCTGGCCGAGGGGGGACGCGGTGGTCGTAGTGATGCAATAGTCGGGCAGAGCCTCCTCCACCGTGGTGGAAGTTGCCAGCGGCCCGCCGGACGAGCGGTCCCCGGCGTACAGGCTCATGGCCTGCATGTTGCAGTGATAGGTGGCGTTGGAGCTGGAGGAGATGGCGCTCTGGTTGCAGGTGGCGGAGCTGTATGCGGGGGTCTGGTTGGGGGAGTAGTTGAGCGACAGTGACGGGGTGATACCTGTCCGAGAGGAGGCGATGAGAGGCGGAGAGAGCTCGGCCTGCGGGGAGCCCCGCAATGAGGTGATGATGTTGTCCACGCTGAAGCCCTGCGCCGGGGCCTGGCCGTGGCTGTGGTGGTGGTGCTCGGCTGCCTCCATGCTCAGAGACCGGGTGGAGGGGACGCTGTGCGGGCTGCCAGTTGACATGCTGCTGCTGCTGCTGTCCGGACTTTCAATTTTAGGCACCGCGCCCAGGGTGGGTGACGCGGCCTGCGGAGGCGATGACGTTCCGTTCTCAGTCTTAATGTCCTGGATGCGCACCGGCTGAGCGCCCTGCACCGGCGGGTCCTGCTCCCGACCTGCGGGCCGCGCAGAGGGATCCTTCCCCTGCCTGTCCCGCTCATCCTTCTCCCTCTGCACGTCCTTCTTTTTGAACCTCCTGCGGCGCCGCAGGAAGCTTCCGTTCTCAAACATATTGTAGGAGTCCGGGTCCAGGGTCCAGTAGCTGCCCTTCCCGGGCTTCTTGTCGTCCCGGGGCACTTTGACAAAGCACTCGTTGAGGGACAGGTTGTGCCGGATGCTGTTCTGCCAGCCCTGCTTGTTGTCCCGATAGAAGGGGAACCGCTCCATTATGAACTGATAAATCCCGTTCAGGGTGATCTTCTTCTCCGGGGAGTTCTGGATCGCCATGGTGATGAGGGCGATGTAGCTGTAAGGAGGCTTTACCATGTCCTTCGGCTGGTGCTGCGGGGTGTACGGTCCGTACGCGCGAGCCATGCCGGCCTGGTACTGCTCGTGGGCGGCATGTGAGTACATGCTCATGGGCGCGGGCATCCCGGTGTACCCGCTGCCGGGTCTGTAGTAGTTCTGGTCACTGCTGATGTAGGGAACGACTCCCAGAGAGTTGGGACTGGAGACGGAGTAGCGCGCCTGCATCCTGCCTCTCCAAAACTCTTCCCCGCAGAACGTGTCACAACTTCAGCCTCTAGGCTGCTCTCTTTCGGTTTTCTGTCCTTCCTATTTCTCTTTTTCTATTTTTTTTGTATGTAAGTCCTTCAAGCCGCAGCTCGCCACGGTGACGCGGACAGAGCTCACGCTGCAGCACGGAGCATTTGGGAAACTAAGAAAGCTGGAGGAGCATGAGTCTGACACAGGGAGGAACTTTTTCCTTTTTTTTCTTTACGCCTTACATTTTTCCTTCCCTTTTGGCTCCTCCAGCTGCTCCACCCCGAATCCAGTGTGCTCCATCATCCAATGGGGGACGAAATGAACCTGTGGAAAAGAGCACAGCGATAAAAGTTTCTACCCCCACCTCCTTTCTCCTCCTTCTCCTCCTCCTCTTCCCCCTCCTTCTTCTCCCTGCTTCCCTCTTCTGTCAGCTAAGAAATGAAGTTATTAAAATGTTTTGAGGGTGTGCCCAGAGTGCTGAAAATGTAACTTAATTACCTAAATCTGGATTTATCTTAGAATGAAAACTATAAAGTTACTAAAATGTATATATTTTGGAGAAAGAAAAAAAAAGAAGAAATCGTAGTTGAAGTATAGGCTAGTTGTGGCTTGACCGCTCTAAACAAATTGCAGTTTCATTCTATCCATCATTCCGATGTCAGATCTGTGCGAAAAAGGTAAAGGGGGAAGTTATTCGTCATACCTCTCCCTTTAAACGATAGTAGAATGATCTCCTTTAATTAAATCTAACAATTAGAATTCATGCGTTATAGATTAGGAATGCAAAGTAAGCTCAGACCAATGACTCCTCTGGCTGAGAAGCTCTCAGCTGCAGTCCAGCCTCTGAATAAACAAAACGCACATGAAAGAGTGAAAAAAAGTGAGGATGCCTCCGCCCTCCACACCCACAGTGCTGGTGGGTGGTGTGTGGGAACTAATTATGGGTTAAACGAAGATCATTTGGTCGAGCTGGGTGACAAAAGATTCACTGTGTGATGAGAGAGAGAGGCGAGGAGCTCCAAATGTCCCGGCACAGACAGACTGACAGGTTTTTCATTGGAGAGCTGCGATCAGGTCGCTGAGAGAAATAAAGAATTTTTAACAGCTTCAGGACAAATAAGATTTACTGCCGAGGAAAACAGAAAAGTTCAAAATAAAAAGCAGTCATCTGTCAAGTCTATCATAAGAAAGTCATATATATATATATTAATCACACATATAAATAATAAAATATTATTCAACAGCAACATTTTTATGATTAAAATTACTATTTTGTCTGTTCTTACTGTGTGTATGCTATAGGCCAAAAACTTAAACAGAGATCTTTTTACGTATTTTTCTAGATTAATGGCTCAGAATCAGCATAACGCATGTCAGCTTCTTCTCTCTTTTTTTGCGCATTTTTATAACGATTGTAAATCAGTGAGAGAAAACAAAAACAAATATAGTTATTTTTTTTTTATCTCAAAAACATGAGCCAATGTGCATTTAAATTTACGCGTGCGCTTGAAGGTGGAAGAATGCAGCTCTATTTATTTATCTATTTACAATTATTGGGGGCCACAAAAATAAAAATCTTTTAAATAGTTTTATAATTCCGATTAGTTTACCGAGTGTGACGGTTTAAATCATTCTGCTGACTTCAGATGATTAGTATGTTTTTATTGTCCATCCTCTAAAAATATTCTATTTCTTAAAAATATATATTTTGACTAAAAAAAAGGAAGAAAAAAACATGAATGATTAAGTCGCATTTTAGAAAATATAAGTTAACTTTTAATTATCTAAATCTAAAGAATGCAAGTGTGAAGAATATGTTTTTATAAACTGCCATGACAGCAGATTTTTTTGTTTCCTAAACTCAATCCGTGTGAGGTTTTTTCATTTAGGTAAATATGAGTTCTTAATTTAAAATAAAATGTTAAATATTATATATATATATATATATATATATATATATATATATATATATATATATATATATATATATTTTTTTTTTTTTTTTTTTTTTTTCCGAGATCTTAAGTAAAAGCAGTTAATTTTCACCTAAGTGTTTTGGTTTGTTTGTTTTTGTAATCTCGATGTCTGTTCTGTGATTTGCATGTGTCTGAGGGGCCACATGAGGAGCAGCAGCAGCCGGATGAGGAGGTGGAAACAAACGCCGTCACCTGTGAGGTCCCCCCCCGCACGGTGAGCGCTCCGCAGCGGGTCCAGACAGAGCGGGAACCCCTGCTGACCGCAGCGCTCATCAGCTGCTCCGCACGCAGCGTGACTCGGTGTGACAGCTCTGGTGAAACAATCTGTTCCTGATATTAGGGTCCCTCCCTTAGATGACGGTTCAGAGAAAAAAAAGTCTTAATATGTGGTGATGCTTTGCAAGAAACGCACATTACATCGAATCAACCTGCTTAGTAAATAAGCTTGTTTGAATATTAAAAACACGTCATAAAACTTCACCGTAATTGAGACAGCCATAACCGTTCATTAGAACGGCACACTCCTGCCTCCTTGTGGTAAGACTGTAAAAATACACGAATTATTATTATTATTATTATTATTAGTAGTAGTAGTAGTAGTAGTAGTAGTAGTAGTATTCCTGTGACCTTTACTATATAATAAGCATTTCATAAGTTGGATTACGATTTATATGACAATGAAGCTGCAATAGCTTTTCATCAGTTATTCTGAGTGTTTTTCAACTACTACAACTAAGAATACTAAAAAAAAAAAAAACATAAAATAAATGGATAAACATAGAATTATTTAAAGATGCCCCCAATGGGGAAAATTTGCACTTTCTATCAGGTCGTATGGTCTCAGATACTGAATCTTTCTTGTCTGGTTCAGATTGAGCTTGTTTGCGTTAGGTTTAATGTTCCTCTGCATAATAGAACTGGCACTTATGTTGCTATTTGTACATTTTAACGAGGGATTTACTGATTGCATTACAACTCCGATGCTCTTTCTTAGAGCGCCTGGATCCTAGGAAATTGCTTATGAACTTCATCTTGCAGGGGCTTCAGCATCTCCCGCCGTATTTATATTAAGTGCCTAATTAAAGGTAGAAGAATTTCCTCCCAAGATCTCCCCTTTTCTGAGAGCTGCGGGGCCCAGATAGCGCTTCGAAATTGGTTTTCAAATAAATAACTGCCAATCATTCATGTGCACATTATTTCTCTGTGTGCTGGTCTGGCTCGGACTAGTTTGGGGAAGGTAAAACTGTTCTCAAGGCCACTAAATGCCTCTCAGAATGTCACTTTTTTTTCCCTTTTTACCCCAAACTGGATATCTGAGAGCAGACAGCTGGATGACAAATGTTGCTTTGGAATAAGCACCAGGGCAAATGTTCCCAGATGGGTCACTTAGTTAGTGACCTGTTCCAGAGATCTATTTGCCTTCTAATGTGTTGGCGTGGTAACACAATTTAATTAATTCATAGTTTGCTTAACACTCAGCAAACACTTGTAAAAATTGGTAAAATACAAAAAAATAAAAAAATAATAAAATAAAATAAAATAATAAAATAAATAAATAAAATAAAATAAAAAATAAAAAACGGATTTGCATTTATATAACATAAACAGACCTGCCAGGCCTATTTGTTTTTTTTGTATATTTGTCAAAGTAAAGCGTTTTGAGATGAGTAACTGCTGATATAAAGGCGCCCAAAATGTTATAGGTAAATGCTGCCCTCTTGTGGAATTCATTTGAAAAGCATTAACTCGATCTTCTTATTTCCATTTTGATTTTTTCTCCCTTAATCTTCATCTTTTAGGATAAAGCTAACAGTATATGTTTTAAACTTATTGATAAAGATCCCCAAAATCTGAATTGAATTAAAAACATTATTAAAAAGCTGTAATATCTACAAAAATTGACTTTCTGCCAGACATTAAAAAAAGGCTTATTTTTCAGGGACTTGGTAAATTAATAGCATTTCTGCAAATGTTTTCTTGAATTAAGCCAAAGTTTAATTCATTTTTACTTTTTAATAAAAATATTTCCTCACTATTTCCTTCTAATCAGTTTGTAATGGCAGATTGAAAACTCCATGAGTCAACAGATTTGTTCTTAATAAAATGTGAAATTTCACCTGCACTTGTCTCTCTCA